GCTCTTCCAAGAGGTCTCGCAGCTCGCAATTGAACGTTTGTGGATCCACTCATTCTGGTATTTCCAATCTCCATCTCAGATTCTCAATTCCAAATTCCTCCTCAAATCTCAACTTATTCATTTTTTTTAATTTTATTTGTGTTTTCACTTTGGATCTTTTTTTTTTTTTTTTTTTTTTTTTTTTTTTTTTTTTTTTTTTTTAATTAAGTGGAGTTGTTGGTTTAATTTTCGAACACTGTCGCTTACCTGCTCTATTGCTTCGTTGGTTGAGAAAAATAATTTGGTTAGGTTAGGACTGGATACTCGTGCGTCACTTGGCTGACTGCGTGTATGTTGTTTTTCTAGTACGGCCACGCCACTCTTAATTTTTTCGTTAAATATTGTAAATTTGTCGTTGCAATTTCATGGAGCTTGTTCATCGCGTGTGTGGGTACGGACTACGGAGGATTACTTTAAGTATGATAGGGGCATGTGTGAGGATTTTTTTTTTTTTTTCCCCTCAAATATTACTTCCACGGATGTGTTCAATGTTCATGTGCCCAAAGTTGAAAATATCGCCCCACGTATGGGGGGCACCTCTTTCTCTATGTTTTTCTTTCCCATGCTTCTCTGTGTCATGTATTTAATGTCTTTATAATATATGGGTGGGGCGGTATGTTAAAACGCAAGGGGGGTGGGCTGGAACTAATCCTTTTTATTATGGATGCGAAATAGATTAATTTTTCTAAGAAAAAATGGGTTGGTTCCTTGTTTTTAAGTGTTTTAAAGTCTATGCTATGTTGATTCATGCAGCTGCTAGGGAGGGTTTGGTTCAGTGATCTCTATTATTATTATTTTAAAATTCCAAACAGTTGATGGAAATTTAGGCCTGCTTCTATATGACGATGTTTCATAACATTTTTGTAACGTAGTTTACTTAAACCCAAGCATATTTATTCTTGGCCGGTGGTTAACATTATTGTGCACCTTTAGCATTACGGTTCCTTCAAAACAAATTTTCAAGCGGTAGATATTTACTTAAGTGACAGGGATTTTCCGGTGGTTTTGAACTCCAAAATTGGGCTGATGTAGAAGGAATCCAAGTTTTGAACATAATTTGTGTCCCATGATTCATATTTCTTCTTATAATTGTTGAGTTGCTGACCTATTCCTTGGAAATGTGAATTTCAAGGTAAAACTATGGCTGTAGCTTTGCAACCTGCCCAAGAGGTCACAACAATAAAAAAACCTCCTACGAAGCAAAGACGAGTAGTTGTGACAGGACTGGGTGTGGTTACACCACTTGGGCATGATCCAGATATCTTCTACAATAATTTGCTCAATGGTGTTAGTGGCATAAGTGAGATTGAAACATTTGATTGTGCAGAATATCCAACCGTACGTTGTATTTAATTCAAATTGTATATTCAGTTTTTGACTGTTGTAGATTTTGTTCTCAAATATTACGTTTCCAGAGAATTGCTGGTGAAATCAAGTCTTTCTCAACTGATGGCTGGGTGGCACCAAAACTTTCAAAGAGAATGGATAAATTTATGCTCTATATGCTGACAGCTGGCAAAAAAGCCTTGGTTGATGCTGGAATTACTGAAGATTTAATGGACGAGTTAAATAAAGAAAGGTGTGGAGTTCTGATTGGCTCAGCAATGGGTGGCATGAAGGTAACTTATCTTTGACTCTCTTGCATGTTGAGATTCAATACTTAGAGAAAAAATTGACTTTTGTATCATTCATTAGTTTGATTTTATATGTAGAAGCATCACAACATCTTTAAGAAGTTGTGGAGCCTGCTGGTTTTGTATTGAATTTGCAATTAAATGCAATCGGAAAGGAGCCAGAATCATATTATATTCTGCAATCTTATGGCATTGATATGTTGACTATTTTGTGGTTTTTTTGTGTATTAAACAGGTTTTTAATGATGCCATTGAAGCTTTACGAATCTCATATAAGAAGATGAATCCCTTTTGTGTTCCTTTTGCAACAACAAATATGGGTTCTGCCATGCTTGCAATGGATCTGGTCTGTTTAAAAGATCTTGGGGGCATAGTGTCTCGATCTGTTTTCATAAGCTTGTTCTCCTTTTCTTGGCCACATTATCTCAAGCTTTTATTGAATGATTACTTTTGTGGATTGCAGGGATGGATGGGTCCTAATTATTCTATCTCTACAGCTTGTGCCACAAGTAACTTTTGTATATTGAATGCAGCAAACCATATCATTAGAGGTGAAGCTGTAAGTATTTTGCTTTGTTATGTGCTTTTAGGGTTATAGATTTCTCATATTTTCCCTAACTTTTTCTTTTTTGGTCAAATTTTTTGGTTAAATGATACTCATTTTGTCAAAATGTGTTAACAAATTTAGTAAACGTGAAAATTTTCTGCAGGATGTAATGCTTTGTGGTGGCTCAGATGCTGCTATTATACCAATTGGTATCCTTTTGTTACTCATTCTTTGTGGCTTGTGTGAAGTTATCATGCCATGAATACAATATTAATCCAGCTATCATTTGTGCAGGTTTGGGAGGTTTTGTGGCATGCAGGGCACTCTCACAAAGGAATACTGATCCTACCAAAGCTTCACGCCCTTGGGACATTGTAATACCATAAAATTACTCTTACTTTTTTCCTCCCCTGATATAATTGGATGAATCCATTATAGTAATCTAGAGATATAACTTTACTGAAACTGTTGTAACATTACGAAGGTTCATGAGTTTATCAACCAGCCTTGAATGTTGAATTTTTTTTCATTAAACCGATCAGATGGTGTTCAGCACCTAAGAAGCAATTACACAATAGCTGAGTTGTGTCAAAGCCATGTTAGACACACAGCATGTGCACTTTGAATTCTTTTAGTTGCATTTTCCTTAAACTTTTGTAACAAGACAAATTAAAATATCATAGTAATTTGATAGAGTTTAATATTTCATTATGTCTATAATGACTTGTTTATTTCAAAAGATGAATCTTCTTTTGCAATTTAAGATTTTTATTTTATGCTAATTTTATTATATATGTGTTGTGTCTGATTTTTAAAAATTGTTGTATTTGAGCTCCCTAGCTCAGCAGCACATGGTTTATTTAAGGGAATCACTATTTCAAATATGCAAAAGTGATAAGAGATCAGACAGCCTTCTACACAATAGTTTTATAATCTTTATTTGGTGGGAGGATTCCTTATCCTCCATAATTTTTACCCGCCTACTTTTTTCTAATTGTGATATATAGAGAGTGAGTTGAATTTCCTTTCATTTTTAAAAAATTGCTGTGCTTGCAGTTTTGGTTTGAATGCTTATGCTTTTTCTTCACCTTGTGCACTTGTGTTACCAACCATTCACTTTTGGTTATGATATTACAGAACCGTGATGGATTTGTCATGGGAGAAGGGGCTGGAGTTTTGCTTTTAGAAGAACTGGAGCATGCTAAGGTACTTCTAATTTGATCTAATAATCTGAGAATAAAACAAGCCATACCTTGTGTTAGGATTTACCTTCAACCTTCTGTTCCTTTCAACAATAACAGAACACTTGATGCATCTGTTTAGGACCTTTTTAAAATGCCACTTCCTACTACTCATTTCTCCCAATCCTTATTTGACTTGTATATATCATCATGAAATTAAATGCTTCTATCACTTTTGGCAATATATTTAAGTAACTTTTTGTGTTCCAAATTTGTACATTGCAGAAAAGAGGTGCAAACATATATGCTGAATTCCTTGGTGGAAGTTTCACCTGTGATGCATATCATGTGACTGAGCCACGTCCTGATGGTAAAATGTTAAATGTTTAAAGCTCTTTATATTCATATCATCTTAAAAACATAAATCATGATCTGGGTCTAAGTGTACATTACCCTTTAGGATATCAGGACAGAACTGTGACGTAAGACATGATTGCACAGTTGCACATGTGTTTTCATCACTCTTGCTTTTATTTATGTTTTGGCTCTTTCAATCATATGGATGTCTAAGCTGTTGTTTCTGTAGCATGTTAGTTTGAATTCTTAAAAATGAGTGCTTTAAATGTGAACTCGATGCATCTCCTATTTGTGCATGTGAGATATCCTAGAAAAAGGAGGAACTGGAAACGAATTTAGTTTGCTGCCCGTGGATGCAGTTTTCCATTCCTCACAGCTGCTTCCCTTTGCAAGGGCTTTTCTATTAATTAGTATGTGAACTACATAATTGAAATTTTTAGATAGCTGATTTAAAGTGGATATCATTTGTCAGTTAATGTGTAACTACGGTCTGCAGTGACTGTTGTATCCATATTCTGCAAAGGCAAGTTTTGAAAGAAAATAAGTATATATGAATTTCTGTTTATGTAATGTAAATGTAGAGTTTCTGTATTTGGATTCATCTTTTATAACTTATGTTATTCCTTTCTATTGTTACAAGTTCTCAGTGTGATTGCGACAGTCAATAACCCTTGTCTTCCTATCATCTTAAAATATTGGGTCATGTTTTCTCTGTTTAGTGATAGAAATTAACTATATCCTGCCAAGTTTTCTTTGCGGTTCTGGCGTGAGATTTTTTTTTTTTTGGGGGTCATGTTGAAATAGCTTTTTAATAATTATGTGCTTTATTTAGAATACTTGGTGAGTGATGATACTTGTGGTTCGGTGTCCCTGTAGATCATTCCAGAATATGCTTGCACTTATTTTTTTTTATTCCATCTCAAACAGGGGCTGGTGTTATACTTTGCATTGAAAAGGCATTAGCTCAGTCCGGAGTATCAAAAGAGGATGTGAATTACATAAATGCACATGCCACATCCACACCAGCTGGAGATCTTAAGGAGTACCAAGCTCTAATTCATTGTTTTGGTCAAAACCCCGAGGTAAGTTTCCTTTTACATGATATTATTTCTATTGTTCTCTTAGCTACCCAATTGAAAGGTAATTATGATTTTTTTTTATTAATGCTGTTGCTTATCATAATACAGTTAAGAGTGAATTCTACGAAATCTATGATTGGCCATCTACTAGGTGCAGCTGGCGGTGTGGAAGCTGTAGCCACAGTACAGGTGAAAACTAATAATGATTTTTTAATGAAATTTGTATAGTAGCTAAAGCTTCACAACTAGATATTTCTAAGCCTTATTTTTCCTTTATGCAGGCAATTAAGACAGGGTGGGTTCATCCCAATATCAACCTAGAAAACCCAGATAAAGGAGTGGTATGTTACCTGTTGCAACAACCCTTTTGTTTAAAATTTTATTGTCATATTATTTACAAATTTTAAAATTATCTAACTTGGTCCAATGAAAAAATAAAAAATAAAAATAGGATGCTAATGTGCTTGTTGGCTCAAAGAAAGAGAGACTGGATATCAAGGCTGCGCTATCAAATTCATTTGGCTTTGGGGGTCACAATTCTTCAATCATATTTGCGCCCTATAAGTGAAACAGATTTCACAGAGAAGGATTTTCTATTAGTATAAGGTTGGTATTATATCAGTTAAAAGGAGGCTAACTTTTTGTTCCTTTTCCTCTGCTCCATTCTCAAGTTTGTTTTTATGTTGCAGTTACTGAATACCCAGACAATGTTATTGCATACTAACTCCAGTGTTTGGTTGGGTGAGAATATGTGCGGTGTGGATCAGTGACTGTTGAGAAACATTGTTTGTTGGGATGGGGTTGTGCCTAGTGACAAAATGAGAATGTTGATAGATTTGTGGTGCTCCTGGTGGGAGAGAGTGAGTGAGTCTCTATCTATCCAGTGATATAAAATCCTATCTCACCATGAATGGCTAGAGTAGGAGTTGACCCTCTTTTGATGTAACCGTTTAACAACCATTTTATGGGATACACTCTTTTGTTTTATTCCCATGTACAAATAGACCCTCATGGCTGGGCATTGCTCAATAACCAATTTCAGTCATCGAATCGAATACATTATGCTTTTCACTGGAATTTATATACCCTGGACTGGAGGGTACTCATTTCCATTTTATCACTTATGAGTTTCGCAAAGTGGATGTGATGATAATGCTTGTCACCCAAAGACATTTTGTTATATAGCTTTAGACTCCGTAACACCCATCAGAATTCATGTTCAACAGAATCCAACATATCGCAATCGACGTTGTTATTTCATCTTTTTGATAAATTACTAGAAATAGGAAAGAGAAAATAATATAGTTGCGCAAATCTATTTTAAATTCAAGTACAAGTTATCGAGATAAATACTTTAAGAAATTATACTTAAAAAAATTTTACTTAAGTTTTATCCATGACTTATTATTTGAAGCATATAACACATAATAATGTAAGAGTTTATTATGTTATTATCTTATCTTAGCACAATTTCATATCTCAAATATCCTATGTTGTTTTGTTCTATCATGGCCACCGGAAACAGTAATATTTTGACGTGTGTATTACATTTGATCAGTGACGGAGCTTGACAAAAAAAGTTTGGAGGGGACAAAATTTACAAGAAATATTAAGTTTTTTTTACAAAATATATGAAAGACAATTTATACGAGAGTATGTAGGGA